TAATGTAGGCTACAGATTAGGTACAGTGCAGACTTATGAAGATACTTGCAAAAAAGGTCATTTCTTTATTTAATATATAATCCTACTGATTAAAGACTATTTAGCAATGGAAACAAATATATCAACATAGAAAAGGTGCTAACCACTCTTTTTCAATAGGAACTAAACCACCACTTTATCTGAAGCGCCACAAATATGAATTACGGATTCTTCATGACCTCATTCCCTGTCATTTGTGCACCATTCGTGTATTTCTGATAGTTCGTGAGGTTTTAGATGATTAATACTGCGTTTTCCTCCATCAAGTATTACTTACATTCATGATAGCCGACTTACTCTTACTGTAAAGTGTGGTCCTCTGACAATTTCATGAAAGCCTCTTTACTAAGTAACCCCTTAAGAAACAAGATCCAGGCTTCTAGTCGTGCAAAAACTGGACGTTTACGGAGTCTCGTGAGCTTTTTTAAATCGTTGCTTCCCTCCCCAGTGCCAAGCTAGTTCTTCCTCCTTTTGCGCTGACGGTGGGCTAACTTTAGCTAAACCAACTCTACAAGTACAAGCACAAGTTTAACCTGAGTAAGACAGAGTTGACTAAGTGCGAGCTTTATTTAGATGATGTCTAAGATCACATGAAATCCAACAAACGCGTGGATTTCCCAACCGAAAAGCACTAAGGTTAGCTTTCCCTTAGCAGCTAGCTAATGTCAACTCCAGATTTATCACAACCGAGCGCTCCCCAGAGGAAAAATGTCAACCAGATAATATTTACACTCAAACAAACACATTCTGTGCTTTAGGTCTCCTTGCCATTGAGTTAAAATGACAAATACCCGAATCTGAATGCAGCTAGCTGCATTAGCTGAGCTGCTGCTTGACAGCTCCGTACCTCCATCAGGTATGTCGCTGACAGAGCCAATGCTGTTCTCGGTAAAAGGAGGAGTTGTTCGCGGCTGTCTCAGCGGCTCTCTTTGGTTGAAGAGCGGGGTCTTGCTGTCAGCGTCCCCAGCGCCCGTCATGAGTCCGGGGTCTGCTGGAAAATTACGGGATCTCCCTGCTCCGGGAGCTCGGTCGAAATTCTCGTTCATGACTGCTCGGTGTCAGCCTCGGCTCTTAATACAGCATCTGATATAAACGAAGATGTTCCGGTCGCCCTTCCAGCTGCCGTTTTCCGTGCGTAGCGGCAAGTGCTTGTGTTGTTTTTTTTTACTGTAAAACGCGTCCTATCTCTCTTTCATGGTGGCCTTTTCTCTATCGGATAGTATCAGTGTGTAATGCTACATAACTTTTTCGGCCACTTCCTTTAACAACAAACTTGCTGTCACTGATTATCCAGAATAAAAAAAATCTGCCTCCCTCTAGTGGCACGGAGTGGAAGTGGGCGCTGAAATAAATACCGTCTTGCAATGTGTTTTTTGAATGGATTACTGCACAAAGGCCTTGAAACATATATTTAACATTTATGGAACATCTGCAAATTTAAATGAAAATCCATTATATGAGAAAAACTAAATTCGCACAACTCTGCTTGGAATGTATATTTATTTCAATATTTGGCACCACCAGCTGTATTCTTCACACAATACGAACACTCTTAAGCAAGACTTCTTTAAGTGTTCTTTAGGAATATTTCTCCAGACTTCATGATGGATTTTCAAAGCTAGAAGCATTTGGGGGTCATAGTCATCCTAAAAATGGAGCCGCTGCCAATCAGATGCTTTTCAGTTGATTTGTTCCTTTTTGGTCTTCCTCTTTACATATTGATGACAATTTAAAGCATTGCTGATGAGGCTTCGATGAGCAGTATTTGGATCAACTGAAGGGCCAGATGGATCACTTTGTTCCTGTGTCAGGTCTTTGCTGGATTTTTCCTGGTTTCTTAATTACCTGATTTTCAGACGCTTTTCATCTGCTCTAGAATTATCATATGTTATTTATCCCTTCTTTCATCCTCCACTTGTCAAGTTTTGTTAAATTTTGTAAGGATTATTAATATTAATGTTAGCATTAGTAGCAGTAGTAATAGGAGTTACAAAGACAAACTCATTCAAATGCAGATATTTATACAAAATTTTAAATATGATAATGTCCTTGTAAGGAAGACTTCCCCCTTCCTACAATTATTTGTATTAAGTTGTACAGCACTTTAGGACTACCTTTCACTTTATTAAAAACACCTTAACTTGCACTTTATTTAGCGTCGCATTTTAAGCACATCAATAACATTTGCATACAAGAAGTTTAATTATTTATTGAATATTTATTGAGTATTTTAATAATTAGCCAGTAGACTTTGTTCCAGGTCCTGCACAGCTGCTCCTCATCAAGAAATGTGGCGGTTGTCTCTGAGGAGAAAAGAATTGTTACTAAGCAAAAGGTAAGGAGAACTAACGCAAATGTGTGCAAGGTCTAGAGGTAAAGGTAAAGGCGGTACAAAGAAGTGACTTACAGAGATGTGATGACTCACCTTCCCTTCCTCTGTGCTCTCCAGGATGTTTGGGCAAATGTTTCCCCAGGTGTCCAGATACCAGTTAAAGGTACCAGGAGAGGCCATTGGTCAAGGGAGTGTGGGGAATCTTTGATCTTGGGGTTTTGGTGTTTCTATAATGATGGTAAGGTTTAAGGGTAAAATGTAAAATATTTATTCATTTACATATTCAATACATATTCAAAATGTATGTCTATATGTATTTATTGAAATTGATGATATAATGTGGTGGAAGGTTGGGATTTGAGAACTCACCTGTTAATGGAATAATGGTTTAGCCTGTGACAGCTGAGAGTATTTAAGGCTGCCTAAGACAGGGTGATTGTTTTGTGAGAAGGCTTAACATATGAGTGATTGTCATGTCCTGAGAGCTATATGGTGAAAAAAAAAAAAAAACCTCTCACTGTAAATCCAGCTGTGAAAGGTTGCCCCGTTACACTCCTCATGTATGATGGATTGAAAACTCTGACAAAACTTACAAAGAGCTGCATATGGTTTTAGTTAGACTACAGGTTTTTTTTATTTCATTTCAAATGACAAAAATGTTTTGTCACGCTTTGTTTTAGTTTTCAGTTTAATTCTAGTTAACAGTGAAAATGTTAGAGGGAGTAATCATATTATTTGCTTATATTTGTAATAAAATGAACACAATATACTACCAGTATATTAATGTGACCATGACAAAAATGCTAACAAATTATAGGAGAAATCTTCGCATTCATAAGCGATTATGCTTTTGAATGTAGAGGTGCACACTGTCCAATTTGTTGTACGAAAATTGGACATGTTTTCTTTTTATACTAAAAGAAGGATTGTGTGAAATATGAATATCTTTTAACTTTTTTCCATCAGATTTGATATGTACTGAAAAAAAATCCACATCAGGCTTCAAGTTCCACGACAGATTCTTTTTCTGATAATTACCAGGAATTCAGGTGATGATGTTTGAAATTTCGTAGACATTAATTAATTATCTATAATTAGTTGCAGTTTTGTTTTCGGCGTCAGTTGCATTTAGAGAAAAAATGTTTCCAAAACTTTGTATGAAAATTTTCATTGCACATAAACTCATGCTTGGTTTGTTTGTTTGTTTTTTTAAAAAAAGACTATCTCCAAATAAATACTGAGGTCACAACGTGGTTGTCTGCACACAATAAGCACGTGCTGAAGGGCCTCATGTTGATCTAAAATGCTAGAAAATTATTTATCCATCTCAGAGGAAAGAGGAAAGGCTGTGAACCTGAACAACCCCCTCAGAAGTGCCTCTCCCAAGCTCACTCAGTAGCTGCCCGCTGCAAACATGTGTTCTACCAGACATCTCGGTGTAAGTATTCATTAGTTGTTTTAGCCTCCAGTCATTTTCCACTTGTTTCTCAAAGCTGGATCACATTATTCCACAGAGAATTCCAGTGCCAGAAATGCAGAGACCTGCTTTGATAGAAGATTACTGTGCCTATTTTGTGTTATTGCCGTTTTTTTTCCCTCGCCGTGCCAGTGTTTTGGAGAGAGTTCAAACATTCACAAGGGAATGCAGAAGATGACAAATGAATTGGATTTGTGTGTGTTTGTGTGTGGGTAAGTCAGTGGGGGTTGGGGTCAGCAGTACACATTATGTAGGTCAAATCCTCTGTTATTTATTTGACTGCATCTTTATCTCCTCATGCACAGCAATTAAGGACAAATCAAGAAAGAAAATGCTACTGTATGTGGTGTCATTAAACTCCTAGTGCATATCCGTGCTTTAGTTCTTATAAAGAAATATGGTTTGAGTCAATTCAGAATCACCTTTAAAACATTTGAAGTCTTTGGATGAAGTTGGGGATCAAGACATGCATGTATGTATTTGTATTTGTTCAAAAGTTGCACCCTAATTTCACCTTCTTAATCTTCATTTTTAGGTAACATTTATAGTTTATCTTCAAGACACTATTGTGAGTTTGGCTTCAGAGGTTCAATAGTCACACCATATTGCTCAGTTAACCTGTGAGAGCACACAGGGCCGTGCAGGGTGCAGAGATGTGCTCGGTTGGTCTTTACTAGTGGAATGCAATGCACCGCAGCATTCCTCAGTATAAATCACTCAGCGCAGTAACAGCCATTAAAGGACAATATACTAAGGCTATAGATCAGACCGCCTTTGTTGTTTTCACTCCTTCCGGTCTCTTTTCACACACCAAGCTGAATGAATTTAGGACTGAAGACAAAGGAAAACTTCTGAAGCCTTTCTCTCAGCTGTCTTCCTATAATCTTCCAATTTCTGATGCCCATCCAGAGATAGTTGTTTTAAAAGGCAGGATAAGCGAACACAAGGTCCGGAAGCCTGTGGTGTTAATGTTCTTCCTATGTTCTTTTGATCTGGGATTGAGGCAGCTGCCATTGATTAGTGTGTTTATGATTAGTGTGTAGATGATTACTGAAGGAAGTGGGTGGTCAGGCACAGGTCATATATTTTTTATGCACTTCTTTTGTATTTCCTTTCTTACATGCATACATTCAGATCCTCTTCCAAAGCCCATACAAACCCATGGGCAGCAATTTTTATATTCATAACCAGCTATCTTTACCAAGCAAGTCTTTTTGCAGTTGGAGAAGGTTGCAGCTTCCACAGTAATGGTCTGATATTAGAAAATGATGTCAACATCTACAGTCCATACCAGGGGAGTTTCCCCCCTCCCATTTTGTTGTGGTTGGTCTTGTGTTTTCAGTTTGTTTGTGCACTAATCATTAGTGCAATGGTTGCCACATGGTATATCTGGCTAGGAATTAATGGTTGCCTTTTGTCCCTTCTTTCCTACCTCAGAGACCCAGATAAGAATACCATGACTTGAACGTTTACCAGGGTCTCTCAGTACTTCTGGTAAACCTTACCATTTTTAATGCACTTCTCCCAGTCTTTGGAGTACCACAGAGGAACGTTCACTGCATTGCAGGGGAGAAATGGTACTTTTATTTTTCACATAATAGAGTTCTTATAAAACAAAAAGAATTCAAAGAAATGCTTGTGTTCCCCTTCAGTTAAATATTTCACAAAATAAATAAATCATTACAATTCAGGCAAAAACACAGTGGTTAAGTATCGAACATTTGCTTTAAATGTGTTCTATCCTTTATTATTTCCTGCTGCCGTGATAAACGGACTCACTGATTGTTTCCCACATCCTGAACATTTTCTGTTCTGTTTATGTGTCTCACAGGAGAATATGGATATAAATAACATCTTGAGATAATTCTGCATCTACTACAGTTTATTTAGTGAAACAGTAGCTTCGGTTGTGTCCACATCACACACTTAGTCCAGCTGCAAACTGTTTGGCACAGACAAAAAAAAAAAAAAAGAATAAGCATTGCATCTGTGTCAGTGAAAACACAGGTAACGCCATCTCCCAGAAAAGAAGAGACCACTTGTATGCATGACAGTGTTAGGCCTTTTTCTTTTAAAATCAAATGAGAGATTTCTCACTTTTCAGAGTTCTAAACCTCACATTTTCAGAGTTTCATATTGTCCCTCTCCAGCCGAGTGCACAGGTTCACACAACAGTTGGAAGAAAATGTGTGGCTGTGTTCTTCCTTCGGGTTTTCTTTCCTCTCATCGGCTTCCCCTGGCCGTTCAGACCCACAAACATCTGCCGCTTCCCATGCTTCCACTTGGCTGATGCGTACGTGTTGTAGCCGTTCTCCTCAATCCGCTCCTTCAGGGTGCAGTCGACACCAAACTCTCTCTGTAAAAAAGCAGGTATCATGTTGCAGTGTTATAGACTTAGCGTGTGAGGTTAAGACAAAACGCAGATTATTATCTTGTGCAAAATGCATTGTTGTCTGAGTGCCTATTTACTACTTCTACATTGCATGCTTTTCTGTGTGGGTGATTTGTGCGCGTTTTTAAAGCTGCATAGTTTTCTCAGTGGTTCACATGTGTGCACTGGTCTGGTTGTGATTCAGAGTTGACCCAGCAGTTGTAGAACTATAGATAAGGCTTCCTTTGATAAGGACTGAAGAAGCTAACACTAGCTCTCTCTCTCTGGAGCTTCCAGATTGACCTCTGACTCGGATACTAACCGCTCCGTACAGCTCTCCTTTCTTGCTGATAGCCAGATAGAAGTTGCTGCTTAGCCCTTTGATGGCCACCACTCCCACGTCCACTGATGTGATTTCCAGAATACCTAGGGATCAGCAAAAAGAAGGTGACATTAATATGTGTCAACATTAATAGTAGGCATGCTATTATGTCATGAACAACTGAATAAATGCTGTGGAGCAGAGTATAGAAGAATTAACACTCTGGCAGCGGTCACAAGCCACCCACATGAAGTGCAGATATAAACCTGGAGGAATCCACAGGTTTTTCAGTAATAGTATAATGAGTACCAGCATTTGTATTCTGTGACATTTACATGGGGAATGTGTGGGATTTCTGTGCAAGGTTACAATTATTCTTGGGCACATTTCTCATTTCTGATATTTTAAAGTTCCTTTACAGCCTACACCTGTATAAAAGATTCCAGCTGCTCAGGTCATTTAGTCTGAAGATTAATAGGTGGATTCCCCCCGGAGATTTCTCGGGTTGTTTATGTTGAGTTTGGTATTTAGCTTTCCAGGTCCCTGTGCAAATACGTCAGGTTTATTGTAAACTATTAGGGGAGGTTAATTTATACCTCAGCTAAAATGGATGTGTTTTTGCTGTAGACAGCTGTTGTTATTTGTGTGGTCTCAGTATCAAAGGTCGGAGAGCTATAACTTCCTAATGTGTCCTTTGACCACAGAACCCACTTGTCTCATCTCATGCCGGTGTGTGTGTGTGTTAGTGAACCCCACTGTTTCCCATGGGATGTTTGATTTCATGCCGCCCTCCCTACCTTCCTTTTCCCACTTCCTGTGAGCTGTTGTCATTTTACCCCAATTAACACCCATATGTGTATGTGCACACACACACACAGAGTGGGGGCGTGAACTCCAGAAAGTCAACGACATCCTTTGATCAGACCAGGGGCCCCTCCTCTGTCTGATGACTGTTTGTGTGGCACCCTGCTCTACTGTCAGACTCGCTCCAAAGTGGCTGGGGGGAGGGGGGGCTGCCAGCCTTGGACCTGAGTGGACAGCAGAGGATGCAGGTGTGCCCAAAAGAACAATCCCTCTGTTAAATATACAGCAGCTTCTCTCCTCGTCCGTGAGGTCTTGACTGTATCAATTTCTAGTTCAAACAGCGGCACCTCAGGGCAGTGGGGTCTGAAGCTGCAAGGCGGTGTTGGGGACTGTGACACAACGGTCATTGAAGATCTGAGAAGAGCTGGTTTCTGTATGGGATCGGATGTCGGGTATGGAGTGAGGATGTAAGACAATCTATGGCAGTCTCTGGCTGCTCTGTAAACATGGGAGTGATGAAAGGAAGGAGAACAGAGGAGGACAGAGGAGCCATGACAGTGAGACTGGGGGTGGAGTGAGGATTAGAAAGGCTGTAATGATCACTGATCAAAGTAAGCCACCGGAGGCAGGGGCGAGACAGGTTGTATATACACACATGCACTAATGCACTCTCTCACTCACTAACTCACTCACACACACGGAAAAGCACACACATACACACACATACACATATATATGCACAGTTGTTTTGAAGCAGGTGAATGTGCACTTGCATATAACACACTAACTCAGCTTGGCTGTGAAACTACTACAAAATCTCCATACTCTGCTCTGTGCTGAAAGGCTAAATGCTTATGTAGACCCACAATAGGGAAGTAATAAGGTCATGGCTGCCAATGTGGGAAAATGTGCTCATCGTTTAGCTTTATTTACGCTGTTAATGGGATAGTATTGCTTCGTATGGGGTTTATTTTACAAACCCCTTTTAAAATGTAGCCTAAAGTAAGCCAGCCAGGTTCAGCAGTTTTTCTCTTGCAAGCTTTTTGCGCCTAATGTGTGGCTTATTCGATACGCTCTGGTGGGAGTTACAGCAGTAAATGGTGCGTTGTTTGTGGAATGGAGGTAGATGTTGCCAGTAAGAATTAGCAGTGGTTTTTCCACAGCGGGGAGCCAAAAGAATATGTGCTTTGCAGCTTAGCATTGTTATTCTTTCTCACTCTTAAACTTCTTTTTTTCAAAATAGATGTTCTGGTTTTGAATAAAGCAGTATTTGGGCAGATAAGTCAGGATTAAAATGTTGATTGTTATCATTTCCATGCAGAAAAATAGAACAGAGTGAGGCGTAAATCAGGAAATATAGTAATAACACTTGATAAGGACCACACTCAGTGTATTTACATGGAAAGGAACCTTTTTACTACCTTTGAGAAAAGCTATTGGCTACATCTCCCTCCTCAGACCTCCATAAGAGCACCATCTGGGTTTTTTTTTTTTTTTTTTCAAGTAAAAGGTCGCTGCTATATTTAAAGAAATTATTTATACAATATTCACAGGATATGCCAAGAACTGTCTTGTGCACATGGCCTGGTTCCTTTAGCCTTCCTCTTTCTTGAGACACACACACATAGACACACACACTGGCCCAATACAAGTATACATAGAGTCTTTACATGCTCAACCTTTCACACCATCACAGCCATGGATAGTTAGCCAGACTTTATTTATTTATTTATTACCACAAAGCCTTTCCCTGAGTCTTGTTTAGCAATGTTTTACTCAGAGCTGCTAGATGTCTTTAAATTTTAAGACGGCTCTGCTGTGCTTAGGCCACGCAGCTACTTAGCTGACTTTAACACAGTCTGCCTTCCTTTTCTCCTTGCTTCTCTGTAACCTCAGCAAAGGCTCACAGTGGGTTGGAAAACCATGTGGGACAGTTTTGCACTGGCATCCCCATAAATCTGTGGGAGGCATGCTGCTCCTTGCAGGGCCACAGGGAGCCCCCCCAAAACAGCTTGCAGATAAATTAATTTAGATTAATTAATTAAAGTTTGACAAATTTAAATGTAGGGTGCCTTTGCATTTCAATTTCTGATTTCAAAAAACTTTTTTCCAGTACTTGGAAAGAAAATGTGATATTTTGTCACTTCAAGGGATCATCAAGGGTCTACAAAGGACGTCAGTCCAGGGATCATGTCTAGCCTCAGGGGCTAGAGCGAAGACTGAAGCTGCTGTTGTGTAGTATTCTTTACCATGTGAACCTGATATGTGGGCACATAATCCATACAGTGTCCTCAGACCCCCTTAGGACACAGCTTTGTGATGGCACCACCATTGATATACTGAAGATGAACGGCTTTGATGTGGCCACAATAATATTCAGGCATGTCATTCATGACTTTGTACCTCTAGAGAATCTCACTTTCACCTCCCTGCCTGAACCTCAATTCATTGCTAATTCAGACTTACCTTTGAAAAAAGCAATGCACGGGGGGGGGGGTGGATTTTTGGGTCAGTAAAAAGGAAGACAGAGGGATAAATTATCTCAGAAAGATACATAAACTTTAGAGTGACTTTACACCAGACTTCCTTGCACCACTTCAGTTTTACTACTTAAAGGAAACTGCTAACAAAAGCAACAGTAAAGGCATCACAGTGTAATATGGTCAGGAAATAAAGCTGCTTCTGTCATGACCTTGTCAAAACAAACATCTCCCCTGACATTTTGCCTCCTGTGCCATTTCCCCCAAAGTCACTTTGATTGAAAGTGCGGTTTAGCTCTCCCAAGAGGAACGTTAAAACTTCGGGATACACTTACTATGGAATTGCAAAACAGAGAGAAAAAAAAGGTATATAACAACAACTAAGTGGGATATATGTGTGTGTGTGTGTGTGTGTGTTTGTTTGAGCACATGTGCTGCTGTTGGGTACCATAAGATCACACCCACTGGACCATGTGATTGCCTGCTGGTTGATAGGCACACACACGTTGCTCAGTGGGAATGCTGGGAGACTAATGAGAATGCTATTTTACTGACTTATACACTGAAACATACAACATGTAATCACTTTAAAGACATGTTTCTCTGAGCGAGGACGTCAAGCTGCTTTAAACAAATGTCTGATCTGTGACTGAGGGTGTGTAATTTGCGTGATGCTGGCGGGCAGAAGGCAATCTGAGTGGGAGAGTCATAGCGAAACAACCGAAGAGAAGCAAAAAGGGTCTAAAAGCATCAATGAGCTGGGCATTCATATCCTCCCCCTGCCACAGCCCTGTTCTTTCTATGGATGTTATCAATGCTGTTTACCCTGGGCTGTGAAGACTGCCTGATAATGGCTGGGTTATCTGCTCCTGCTCCTTTTTAGACCATCTGAGAGCTACCATCATTGTGCTGAGTGTTTAGACAGGAGAGATATCAGTGGGATGTCTGGTTTAAAACAAAAAGACAACTCAAATTAGGATTGCTTCCTCTAAACTACCAGTGAATGAACTGCCAACCGGTTCATTCGCGTAACATGAAAGGATCACGTTTTTCCTTTAAACTCACCATTTACAGGTAGCAGCACAAGTTATATTTCTATAGGTACAATCTACATATTTACTTTGGTGTTACATAGGATATAGATGCAGATAGACAGAAAGATGTAAATGTATGTTTTAAATAAACTGTCAGGATCTAAGTTCTCATTTAATATGGTTTCTTGTTACTAGAAATGTCCCACTTAAAGACTTCATCAGGTGCTTTTGTCACATTTGATATATTAATACAAAATGAAGGCAAAGGTTTGGGCTATAGAGCTTAAAAATTTGATATCACACTCACAATTTAAAAGGTAAAATTAATTCGAATATTTCAGGCTAAATGAGCCTTGGATAGGGTCACACAGATCACTTCTTGGCTCTGATTCACTCTTCTTTACCTACTTTTGTTAATTGAAAGGGTTACTTACTGAAGGGGTCGTCCTTGATTTTGGTTCCATTGACTTTTCCATTCTTATCGATCCTCAGGAAAAACCTCTGGAAAGAGAACAGCTTTCTCCTTCGTATGTCCCCTAGTAGATGATTGTAACTGCGCACATGCCTCCCCTGTGCTCCCCCAGTCCGACCCACAGGGCCCCCATTGGCTCTGGCTCTAGAGATCAGCTCAGCTTCAGAAATGTTCACTGGAGCTCTGAGAGTCCGTGGGCTGGAGACCCTATCTGTGTCACGGTGGAACTGATGGCAGGCAGCCTCATGCAGGGATAATAAAAAAACCAACAGGGTGACTAGTACAGGAAAAGCCGGGGTGATAAGCAGTGCTGATGACCGTAGTCTGAAGGTGGCCCCAGAGCCTGAACGAGCCCCTAACCCAGCCCTGGAGCAGGACGAGGCAGAGGCAGCCTTACTCCCTCCAGCAGTCCATCTGATCATGGTAGTGTGCTGTGAGGAGGACTAGAGGCAGCCTCGGAGCTTGGGACATGCTGCTGGGGGTGAAGATTGCCTGAGAAGGCAGGGAGGGAAGCCCTCCACAGACCAGAGTGAAGGTGTCCCTGCACAGTGTCCAAACTATTCAGCGCAGGTATAAAAATGTCAAGATATCCTTCTGGGTGATTTTTTTTTTGATTATGTAATTTCAGTAAGTCTCTATTTTCCAAGCTGGTACTCCACTCCGTTCTCTTCTCCACTGCTGCAAGGTTTTATGCTGGTTATCAAAACTTCCAAGTCTGTTTTGGAAAACATCTCAGTCTAAATGAACAAAGATTAAAGAAAAAAAGAAAAGAAAGTGAAAAAAGCAGGCAGACTATGTGTGCATTCTGGTGAAAATCTGTTTTTGTTCCCCCTGCACTTTTCCACAGTTTTACTAATTCTTCTTAAATTGTTTGTGAACTTTTAACTCTTGCTCAAAGGGGCTCCGGTGTAAGCCTTTTAGTCCCAGACTGCTTTTCAACTTAACAAGAAAAAAAAGATAAGAAAAAACTAATAAAAACAAATATCCAGTTGAGAAAATGTAATAGTATCCATGTAGAAAGGTATCTAAAATCTGGTAAAAGTCTTTAGTTCCACTGAAATAAAAAAAAAAAAGAAAAAATGGTACCACCACACCATTTACCTGTTCCAAGCTGCTAAACTCCACATGTGCAGGAAAACATTTCCAGATTTTACTCTGAGGACGAAAAACAGGATTCAAGACTTAAATAGGAAGGTTGGTCAGTCCAGGCGAATATCTGTCCTCTTTGGGTGCCCAGCTCCTCTCGCTCTCTCCTCATTTAGCTCTCTCTCTCTCTCTCTCTCTCTCTCTCTCTCTCTCTCTCTCTCTCTCTCTCTCCACCCCATGACTCCACCTTCACACAGCATCGAGGTAACGGTCTGGGGAGGTCTCTTTTTTTTTTTGGCTGGATTGAGTCAGAATTTTTCACCTCTTCTACTTTATTTGAGAATTCCTCACTGAAGATTGATCACTGAAAAATGACTTTATGTCGTGTGTAGCTGTGTGTGACTCTTAGTTATTTGATCCCTCCTTCCTTTACTCAACCCCCCCACGCCCCTCCTCACATATGGGAACAAGTACTGGTCTGCATGTGTGTCGATGTGGTGCTTATGTACAAGCAAGTCTAACTTATGAGAGTGGGTGAGAGGTGATAAAGGGGGTTTACCTTCATAGATGCTACCGACCAGGAAGAAGCTGCCTGGTGGCGTTGGATCTTTCCCTACAGCTACAGATTACACTGGTGATTGGTTTATTGGTTAATGAAAGATCTGTCAGGAGTTTTTTTGTGTGTATTGGATGTAAAAAAGGGGGCCTACAAAGGGCTGTATAATTGAGTGTGAAGTAGATAAGTATTACAAACTGAAAATGAATTCACTTGCTCCTCATTAAGGTGATAATCCTGACAAGTGTCCTTCCTCCTCTACAGATTAAAATCATATTAAGTTACAAGTCTGGATGCTGCCTTATCACTACCATCTTTCTAATGCCTCTCTTCTTCCTTCAAGGCACTTTATCGTAGAGTGTTATCTCCCCTGCAGTGCTGTAATGCAATGAAGTTCTCCAGTTTCACTCACCAGACCTCTATTCCTCTGTGACTCAGGTGTCATAGTGGACATCAGCCAACAAGACTGTCTTACGAAGCATTATTTGCTCCTAAAGGCAAGACAGGGACAGAATGGACAATGTCATAGTGGACTAGGCAACAATGTAGAATATGTGCAGTGAATGTGCAAAATATTAGGGACGGTCAGTCGTCTCACGAAGCACATCGATGCTGAAACTCCAGATCACAATATATCAAGTGTTACGAGTTTTGTTTGATTGTCTGTTGTGTGTGTTTTGGACATAAAATCAAAACTAGCTGAGCTTTTGCAGATTATTATGAGGTTAACCATTATCAAGGACCATAAAGTAGCATTTTAACAATCCAGCATGATAAACAAAATTTGCTGCTGGGACTCTTATCTATTTTCCCTGATCCTCTTCTTTTTAATGTCAGCATATTTCCTGGTCCCAGCTTTTTTTCCCTTAAGTCCTCAATTTTAGGGCCTGCTTTAATGTCTGTCAGCGGTCCATGGCCAGAGAAGCAGTTTGGCTTCAATTCTGGTCTTGGTTTTATCTGAGGTTGCAAACAAAACAGTGTTATCAGCAGTTCCTTTGTGGCGTCCGCTCCTTCTGTGATAACCTGAATCCACGTAGTGGACATAGGGGATCAAGGACATGTGCACAAATAATTCCATGTACATTTGCATATATCTACAATGTATTAAATTTAATGATGAATGAAAATGTTCCACTGATTGGCTCAAACAACTTAGAAGCACTTAAATGATGCAGAATATATGAATAAATACTGTATGTCCTGCTAATTAGACAATGACATACTAAATTTAAATGCTACCAAGGGGTAATATACAAGCTTGTAGATTATTTCACTTACAGCTAAGACCAGTTTTACACTTTATGCATTTAATAATCCCCCCCCAAAATTCACATTGAAAGCGTGCATTACATTTTCAAATGCTGTTAAACCTTTAGAGATGTAACAGTCTAAAACGCTGCAGAAATACCTACAGGTCTAACATGATTGTCATCTGTGGATGCCTCAGAGGGATGTAGGCTTCAAATGATGTTGACAGACTCATAAGATTTGGAGGATTTCTTTAGAGGCCAAGGAGCAAATTCTTTGTAAACACAACCATAACTGTCTTTTTCTTTTCCAGCTAAATGCAATATAAGTGAGATTTGCAGGGCCTGGAGACAGACTCATCTCTTCTCTTCGATCTACAGCTTTAGCATTTAGTTTTATCTTTATAGATCTATCTCCCCGAATTGCATTTCAAAGTTCAAGACAAAAAATAATAGAACAGACAAATGTTCTTCTGATCCTTCCCTACAGGCTGTAGCTCTAGCTCTGTGTTTACACTGTTCTCAAAAGTAAAAACATAATTACAATAAAAGCAAATACCGGAAATTTAAACGCATTAGAGGAGATTTGATTTCACACAGCTCCAATTGCCAAAAAGCAAAATGAATCAAGGTGACACACATGGAAGAGATTCATTTTATTGTTTTTACCATGTAATTGTAACATTTTCACATGATACGGCTCTTTTGTTTCTGCACTGACAAAGCACATCAGCTGGCTCTTTACTCTGATTTGTTTTAGATTTCACATTTAAAAATCGGGCCATACAACGGACAAGATGACACAATAATCACACTTGCTGATTATTCAGTGACCAACATTTGTACTAGAAAGAAAGCACAGAAACAGTATTACTTGTAGCTGCAATATTAGTACACTGGAGCAACATGGGCTTCAAAACAGAATATTTGTGTATTACAAGTAGACTTACTTTTGGCAGTGTTCTAGGTGAAACACTATTTGATATTTCAAAATGTTTCCCTTTTACTTTAAAAGGTTAATGCATTTTTATTTAAATTAGCATTCTGTGTTTACATTTTTTGCGTATGTTTTCCTCTGAGCATGCACTTGGCAACAGTGGGAAAGAAAAGCTCCCTTTTAACAGGAAGAAACCTCCGGGAGAAGCAGCACAGGGATGCAATTGATACACATCAGTTAATCAATAATTATGCTATAATATGTTTATGATTCTGAAAAGTACAATTCTCCATCCTGAGTATGTTTATTTGAGATAATATAAATACTGAATAGATTTTATATTTATATTATATTTTACAACTTTCACACTATTAAACTACTTAAATAGAATTCTGTCTTCTAGAAAGTAAAAAAAAAAATTGGAATACTTTTTTTCCACTTAGCAAAACATGCCTAAAGTCTGGCCACTTTACACATAATAAGTCTAGCAAAGTTTTTCTTTGCCAATTTTCTACTCGGATTTTATTTCTAATTAAATATTGTAATCATCTTTAAACAGCAATGTCAAACTCATTTTGGACCACAGGCCACAAACAGCTCACTTTGACCTTAAGTGTGCCAAACCAGTCAGTCTGTCAGTGTAAAGCAGTTTAATAAAAGAATAAATTAGCCCTTTATCATCAACAGTTCATTTCTCTTTTTCTACATGATAAAGAAATGCTGCTGTCGTAAATGGAAGAGATGTCAGCATGAATTTTAAATTGTAAGAAACAGACATGTTAAATTAAAGAAAAAGTTAAGGAAACTAATTTCCTATAGTGTCCCGGTCCTGACATAACAAAACTTATTAATTTACAGAAAATTCACTTTTTTTCTTTACTAGTGACCCCCTATAAAAAATTAGAAATTTCTACGAGCGATAGTAAAAAAACAGGAATGTTTCTGTCATTTAAATATGTATCTATTACTTACTATAGTCTAGTATGAATGACCACAGGGTATGTGTTTATCAGGAGGAAAAGCCGTGAAAGAAAAACTGAAAATGCAATGAGCAGTCCAACGTCTTTACATTTTCCTGTGGGCCGGTTTGGAGTCTTTGGCGGCTGAATCTGAATCATATTTTTTGACAGCCCTGTCAAAAAATGTAGCACTTATTTGAACATAGGAGTTATATTGTTGGTATATCAATATAAGTTAGAGGTTCTTATTTTTTGTTGCATGCCAAGTGGAGCAATTCCACCCCAGTGGTGAGTTGTTGAAGTCAATTCTGGCCCATTTTGCTATAATTTTGACCTTTATGGCAGGTGGATTGGCAGTATGGTCCGATCCATTTTTCTGTATCACATTAACAAGTTCCACTGTGGAAATGCACTTTATTCATATCATATGTCCCTGATTCTGCTTGGCCTCACTGTGGGAATAATGACCCCTCCTCTTTGGTACACCATCATTAAGCAGATGTTTTACAAAGAAAATCACCACACTCTCAGTTACTTAAACTCAAGTCCATATGTGGTCCATGAAGGAATTAAACTCGCAAACCGCTACACTGGCCTGTGGGAACTGTGTGTGTGTAAACGCGTGTCTGTATTCCCTGGGGCCTGCACTGTGTGTGCTGGGTCAGAGGAGGCCAAGGCTTTAATAAAGGAACACGCCTGGTACAGAGATACCAGTCTAACTGCCTGGGGACATGCAACCTGATGGGGTCCAGATGAAAGTCACCACACTGAACTTCTTCCTTCAAAAACAGCCAATTGGTGTAGGGATTACATAGAACTGCCTTCTTCCTCAAGCCTGTGCTTTGGTTTACTCTGGGATTTGAGGGCTAAGCAACTAGATTAGAGAAACATTCTCTTTTAATGATAGCTTTTGATAGATCACAGGAAACTGTGTTACTTCACGTTCCAAGCAGATAACTTGCTAACATTTGCCGGGCTCATACGGGAGGCCTCGTTTTCCCCTTGGTCATCAAATGTAAATATTTCATGTGTTCCTGGCTGTTGTGTTGAAGGGGGTGTCTGGTAACCCACAAGATGAGGTTGCTGTTTCCTGCTTTGCAGTGATCCATAGATATTTGTCGTGTTATCTCCCCGGTCATGAACAGGACTTACATCATCCTCCTGTGCTGAGTGTCAGTTTCAGCAGGGCAGAGGAATTTATTTACAGGTCAGTCACTGATGATCAACTGATCCACACAGAGATGTCTTGTGACTTTTGCAGGGTAATATGGGGTGACAGTGCATTTTATTAACTATACCTTTCACCGCACCGAGGAATATAATGGCAAACAATATTACCATACTGTTATATAAATAGATAACCTTATATATAACCTGTAAACCTTAGCAGCTCTTCTTTTAGAGTGACGATTCTGTGCGCAAAATTCCAAGTCAGCTTTATGAATAATAATAAATTATACTGTATATTAATTGTGGATTTTAAATGTTTAGATAAGTTGTATTGTTTTGCATTTGCAGGATTAGGAAAAAAAGACATTCCTGATAGGATAAGGATTGCACCTCTGGTTTTTCAAAAAACATCATCGTGATTTATTCAGTATTTTGACAAGAAAATTGTAACCATATCGCCCACCCCAGTAATAGCGCAATACAATGATGCATATGACTCTGAAAAGAGAACA